TGTTCCCGGCCTGCTCCGCTGAGGACTACTCCTACCACACGCTGGCACCGTGGGACTGCAGCAAAGCTGCTTCCATAATGAAAGCCCAAGTGCAGCAAGCCTTCCTCCGGGACGAGGTACCTCTGCTAAGGAAAAGCAAAAAGCAAATAACTGCTCAGCACAGCGCAAAGCCGCTGCGAGCGTTTTGTTCACACAGGTTCCCCCCCCCCGTTTGATGCATACACCTCTCCCAGGTGGAGAAGAGTGGTGAGAAGCAGACTGCCACGCAGCATCCTCCCAGCTGGAAAGACCAGCGCTGGGTTTTGTGGGCGTCTGTAGTAAATGGAAAGCAAAGCCGTTTCTGCTGGGCTGTACGCTAATAAACGGCACCAAAACACAGCAGAGGTACAGCAGCAACAGTGGCCGTAGGCACCGAGGCTCGATAAACACCCTTGGGTCTTACACATTTCACGCTGCCACTCGATCGTCACGTGCCCGCACGCCTGTGGTTTGGCGCCGCGACTGTTCAGCCGTCCTCTTACAGAGCTCCGGGACCTTTCACAGGTTAAAGTGGGGTGGTTTGTTTTTTTGTTGTTTGTTTTTTTTTTTTTTTTTTTCCTGGAAAGGAAACAGCAAAGATTTAGGAAAGTTCCACCAACACATAAAATTTCCAGGGAACAACATTTGCCCCCTTGCTGAAGAAGTGATCAGTGCTGGTAACAGCAGCTGTAACAATTTAGGAGCCTAACTGAGGGTTCTGAAACAAGGCTGAGGCTCTGCAGAATTTAATTCCAAGACTGTTGCTTAGCATAAAAATAGCCTCCGCCCCGCAATGTTTTAAACCATGAGTTTTAAAAACCTATTTTAAATAACCATGTGCAAGGAGCAATTTTTCTCCTGCAGATCATGCAGTGCACTCCTGCAATGATTATGCAATGCTATTTTCTGGTTTTGGTTTTATCAACACTCGGCTTTAACAATAAGGAAATTCTAATAATGTTATGATTATAATTAAGGCAACTCTAATGGGATTTTGTGGACTGTGATTGGCATCCCAAGTACAGCATCACACAGAAAGGGGAATGTACAAGGGACAAATCTCCAGGACACCTTCAGAATTAGCAACCATTTGGGTAATTATAAAGCTCCATTTTATAAAGAACCAGGAAACAAGATTAATTTATAAATCAGTTTATTTACAGATTTTGTTCTCTTAAAGTACATTTCAGTTACCAAAGATATTTACACTGGTGTACACAGGGACGACCCTGGTTATTTTACAGTTCTTAATTACAAAAAAAAAAAAACAAAAACAAAAACAAAACCCAAAACCAAACAAAAACCAACAAAAAAAACCCCCAAACCCAAAACCCCTCCACATCCTTGGGTCTGTCTACTGTGCAAAGCTGCTCTGGATGTGAACATTAGCTGAAACTGGCCCAAAACCCAAGTTACCAGGTTATTTACACATACACAGTAAACAGGTTTCTTTTCAGCCTCTCCACAACACAGTACACAGGGAGACGGAGCCTCCCAAAAGGCGGCTTTGCAAACGTATATCAAAAGGCTCTGCAAAGTCAAGGAAAAAACTAGTAAATGCAAGTTAATTACAGTATTCCTCTTTCATCTGTATATATTTTTGCATTTAATGTTTAAATTACAAATAAGTTCAATAGTTTGCTTTTCTCCATTTTAGTAGATTTGTAAACACGTCAGATGCACTAAATACCTTATAAGATTCAACTGTTTCTCTGCTGAAAAGTACTTTATTTTCCTAATATTCTTAAGGTAGCAAAGGGATACGAAAGTCGGAACTGCGTGCAGTTCCTCGCAGAATAGTCACTTAAAAGGTCTCTATCACTGCGCTACTGAAGATCTTCTGCAGGTACACACTTATTCAAGTATTGCAAAAAGCTAAGGCCACTTTTTCAAGAAAGGAAAGTGAACAAGATGGGATTTTTCCATCCCTTGTTCCACCTTGTGAGCAACAAGCCTTTTCTGAAAGGCAGAATTCCACAGCTCGGCTCAGGGAGCATCCTGCTGTGAGAGAGGTACTTGCGCTCCTTGTCCTCACAAGTCTGGGCTTTCCCACCTGGCACCGAGATCCCTCCGAAGAGGGAACCGCCTCTCCCCAGTGATGACGGCCACTGCCCCAAACAGCTTACGGGTCCCAGAAAAATGTCTCAGCCTTGAATCTTCTAACATGGTTGCACCAAGACAACCAGGACCCAGAAATATCATCTTGTTCTTATAATGGGAAAGTTGGGGAGAGGAGAGAAATAGAGAATTCAGCCTCTGTTTGTGACACTCCAGGACTCCCCATACCTCCTCATTAGCAGCCATGACCCAGAACAGACCATTGCTTCATCGCAGAAATCATCAGTCCACAAGTACTCAACACACTCGAGGTTTTGAGTGTACACTCAACTCAAAGTAACTCAACACACTTGAGGTATTGAGAAGATAATTCATGTACGTTCAAGTCTTTTTAGGGTTGCCCCTAGCAAGGATTGCTACCAAAAATAAATGGCGATGTTTGCAAAGGAATAAAGCCATTACTTCGACACAGCTTCCTTCTGCCCAAACAGCTGTAAAAGTAGTTACTGCTTCTGTTGAGGGTACTAAACTAGTGCTATCCAAGCCAGCAAGACAACAGGCATACGATCTCCAGTGGTCCCTGGTACCTTGGCAGGCCAACTGCACAACCTTCTCCCTGCTGCTGGACAGACCAGAGAAGCCATGCCCGCCCTGCAGGACAGCCGAAAAGCCTCGGGGATGCAGGGTAACCTTCTCAACACCAGCCACGGTATCTACAGAACAGAACCTAACTTTGTTTCTCTGATACTCCAGCCACAAACCTACACTGCAGGTCTCTGCCTTCTTTCCGTAATTGCTACCTATAAAAACAGCAATCCTTGCTATTGAAGATACACCCAGGAAAGGGAATCTGAGGCGGTGACCCAATCAGTGACACCATGCTGGTTAAATGCAGCAGCTTTAGTTTGCTTCTGTCTTAAGCATTCGAGAGTTTTCTGGTTCAGCATCATGACATTTTACATGGACAAGTGAATCACTTCGGGGGAAAAAAAGCTGAACAATGCTTCACCAAGACCATCTGACTTCCAGCCAGCCAGAAGGGCCACTACTGCAGGACAGACACGCATATGCCCGTTGGAGGTGTTCCTATACACCATGACCTCCTCCTCCTTGTTCTTCCACTCATTAAGCTCCCATGAATATGGCTCACCATTAACTCACAAGTGAGGTGCTGGCAATACTACATCTGAGAATTTGCATGGACTTCTGACAAATCCAACACTTCCCAGTGCTGTCCCTGAAGAATTACCAGCTGTGTGTCGTTGTGCAAAATGCAAATATTCCAACGATAGCTTCCCCCCTCCCCCCCAAAAAGAAGGTGGAGAAGAGAAAACAAAATGGAGCAGTAGCAGAGGTATGCATAGCAGGAAGCCCAAGAACCAAGCAGATGAACGAAATGGTAGCAATCTCCCCGCCAGGCCTAGTGTGGGCTGCAGCATCTTTGGGGCACCTCTGAGGGCTTCGAAGCATCTTTCTGCACCCCAGTGTGTCTGGAGAATGTGACTCTCCTCTGGGTCTTGTCCCACGTTAGCAAAGAGGGACATCCACTATTAAGGCATCAACATTCGACCCCAGATTGTCTGCGTTCCTCAAAGAGAAACACAAGAATGGGAGGGACAGGTTAGGAACGAGCACTCAGCAGGAGGACACTGCAGTTGAACCCAGCACTGAATCAACCACTAACAGCTGCCCATGGCCTAGAAGTTCTGGGAAGGGAAGGAAACAGATGGAGCAGGGAAGTTTCACAGAATTTTTCAGCTCAGTCTCCTCAACCCTCCGTTGTCTCCGACCCAGGTGCGGTGAAGGTCCATTCCTAGTCCTGCCTTTGCTTCCCACCCCTGGTCACTGAGGTTTGGTTCTTCTTACCTTCCCCCCCGTATCTGTCTCAAGAAGCTGGAGGTTTTGTGTGAAGAATACAGGGCTCTGGAAGTTTCCAGAACAGATGCTTTCTCAAGTTTGGCTGTCTCAGAACATAAGACAGTGCAGCCAACCGCACAGGACACTCTCCTATAACCCACTTAATAAATTATCTGAAAATAAATAAAAAACCCACAAGCACAAAACATGCAGACAGTCAAGCACTGGACACCGCTTTCTTTGGTGAATACGCTCTGTTCTCTAAATTGTTCAAGTAACGGCTTCTCTGATTTATTAGGTGACAGTAAGGGAGGAAGCTGAGGGATTGAAGGCCAAATTTTTTGTGAGGAAATGTTTTCCGCTCCTGCATGTCTCATGCCTGAGAAAATCCTGAGTATCCATTATCTGGGAGCAGCTGGTGCTCCAGGAAGAGAAGAAGTGCTACACGGTAGGAGGAAAGTTGTCCACGGGCTCATCTTTCACGTTTGACGTTAGGCGGCCTTTATCTTGCTCCACCTCAGGACTGAAGCAAGTTACATAGGAAAAGCAGCAAGAATTCTGTACTTGAATGCAGAAAGCAACATCATCTAATTTCCCTGGACTGGCTGGCACCATACTTGGTACCACATCACAGAAGAAAGATAAAACCCAGCTTCACAGAGAAGGGAATTGAATGGGCTCTGGAGCAGAAGAAACTGATGCACATTGTTAGGGCTGCAGGAGAAGAGGTGTTAAGATTATAACACTGTTCAGTACGGTAAGTCTCCATTTACGACTAAAACCTGACCAAGCTGTTTCTTCTCCAAATTACTCACATTTCTAAAGACAAACTGAGTACTGATGGCTGACAGCCATTCCAGCAAAGCAGCCAATATCCCAACTTAACCCAACCCTTTCAGAGCACAAGCTGAACGTGTCAAAGCCCCAGGCTGGGGCCCCAGACAGCTGCTGACAGTTATGTGGCATAACTGCATTGGCACACAAACAGTCTTGAGCACTCCACAATACAGCCTCGAGTGAGGGATCAGCTTGTTCCAAACAATAAATCCGGTGTGAGGTCTCTAGTGGCAGCGGATGCAAATTCAGGTTCTTTTAATCACATCTGAACTGCCTTTAAACCCCATGCGTGGAAGTCCAGCAGCAGCGCTTGCAGGGTGGAGAGTACGTCAGGAGTCAGAAAGGCCCGTGACTCAGTGGTTACGCAGCTGTAAGTTTATTTTCAGCACTGTCAGACAAGCAGCAATCTCCGCTGTTTCTCATTTATCTGGTTCAGTACATCAACAGTGTCTCTGATTAAGGCCTCGAAGATCCCGTCTGCCAACTGCATCTTTACACACAGTTCGTCCTCGTCATAGTTCACCCACTGTGCTTCTTCCTCGTGAAGTTCCTGCACCTTGGAGGTTAGAAAGGAAAAGGCAAAACAAACATTACAATCGTGTTGCTCTAGGATAATATCCCCTGCAAAGTTCCAGAAAGAGTCCAAAACAGTGTGCATCTGCCAACAACATATCTGTCTTTGCAAGAGATTACAGGAAACGCTTGGAATAGCAAAATGAACACAGATCTATTTGAACCAGGCTATTTCACTGTATGAACGTTTTCTACCTCTCACTGTAGTATCCATTTTAAAGGATTTCATATTCCTGCACAAGTTTTTCACTTGAAAGAACTCAGCTAATGGGATATTCTTGGCCAACAGCAGAAGCTCCATTAAAAAAAGTCCCTAATTGCGTATTTGCAAGAAGCTGATTCCATGCAAATTAAACCGGTAGGAAATCACACAGAGGCCTTGAACAGGGGAAGGAGAAAAAGAAAAGACTTTACCGCAGTTCAGTTTATTGGAATAAGAATTAGAAAGCCTAAAGGAAATAACTAACTTTTCCAATTCTTCTGTATAGGACGACAAAATCCTGGCACGTGTTATATGATAGTATTACAACTCATTTGCACAGAATACTCCATGCTTCGTTGGATTTGACAGCATTATTACAAATGGAATTTTGTACCATTACGTCTAAAAGAGTAACTCAGAGTATTTCTTTCCTTCTATTAAAAATTTGTCTAAGTGACTATTTCAGTATTACAGATACATCCTAACAAAGCTCAAACTTTTGAGAAAAGAAAGAGTGGGTGCAAACATCACTCATATTTAAAATGACAAAGAGAACCTGCTGAAAGCTCCTTCTCTGCTCAGCTTCAGCAGAAAGCTCCTCTGACCGTAAATCCTGCACTCTGAACTCAAAATACATTTACACTGTCCACATAGACAAGTGGGTCAGACACCCAGACACTGCCAAAGCAAGGTTAAATCATACTGAAAATCCACTAAATCTACTAATCAATATGTAATAGTGTCGTTACCTAAGGAGAGTACAAGAGCTATAAGTCCCAACACCCTCTCTCCCTCTTTTGCCTGAAGCTAAACCGCCCAGAACCTTGTCTGTTTTGAAGGTGACAGCTGCTGTAGCATAATGATGATTCAATAACCCAAACACAGTGTGAAGCCCAAGAACAGGCTGCTATGGGAACCCCAGGGAACCGGCACTGCTTCAGGGTTTGTAGCTGTACACAAGGCTTCAGTTACACATGGGGTTGCAGTCTGACAGCTCCCTTGTCCCTCTCTTAAGAGAGCTTGGGGAGAGGGGCAGGGACCTCATCCTGCAAACAGCTTTGGAGGAGCCCTGCTTACAAATCTCTCAGCTACCACAGCAAGCACTCCTCTTGTTTCCCATATGGCTGTCAAAGAGGAAGTGTTAATGGTTTAATTATGCTTCTTACTAATAAGGAAGAAGCAACAATATTGGCGATCAAACTTTGAAGTGTTGTAGGTGAAAAATAGCTTAAATTGAATGCTAACAAGCAGCAGATAATTGGGTGTAAGTTTGTGCGGGGGTGAATGTCTGAAACAGGCTTCTGAACTCTCTCAACCAGAAGCTTTCTGCCTGTAACTGGTATATGCTGGCTGTAAATTTTGATAAACTCTGGACTAAACGATAGCAGCACGTCCCAAGTCCTCCCAGTCCTCCCATCAATAAAGAGCCATAAGACAGAAGCGCCAATGTGGAGGCTGATCATGTGTCGCGTGTCTGCATCACATACTATTTAGATGAGGAAAAGCAAGAGGTAGGGGTCACGAAAAGAAGAGGTGGTGCCAAGAAGGGTTCCCAAAAAGCAGAAGCGGTCTGGGACAGAAAACAGGGGCCCCAAAGGGAAAAGGTGAAGATCCTGGCTGGAGGAAAGATCCTGGAAATGGGGGAAGATCCTGGAGATGAAGGAGGTGGGTGGAGACAAATGCTGGGGGACACTCAGGGACCTTGACCGATGACATCCAAGACTGGTAACCGGGAGCAGCTGCACAATACCAACTGGTGCCATTTTCTGCCTGACTCTCCCAGGCCAGCAGCGACCTCGCTGCTGGGAAGCGAAGTCGAGACCTAGTGAACGTAGTAACTCTAGGGGTGGGGGGAAGCAAGTGAATAAAATAATCAAGCAGGTTAAAAGCTCTGATCTCACTGGCCCTTAAATAAACCCCAGTATCCAGATCCACACTAAGCTGCTGTTTATTCTGTCTCACCTGCAACAATGTGATGGGACAGTTCCTTTACTGTGCGCCAGAAGGAAAAAAAAAAAATTCATGGGATAAAGAAACACAAGTAAACGGGAGAGGACAAGGTAACTTGATCCAAGCAGAGAAAGGGTGGATGTTAAATAGCAGCAGGAAGATCAAGAAAGGAAAACAGTATCAGTGATTAATTTTCTCTTGCCTCTATCATTCCCTCTTTCTCAGAAGCGCAGTGCACAATTTCCTTTGGCATTAGGAGGACTTCCTCAAGCATACTTTTGGAAAACTAAGAGAATGTGCAATTTGCAGCTGCAGGCAAGTCTTGTTTATAGTGTATTCAGAACACATGTGGGAACTGCCATACTGCTTTGCAGCCCTAGCTGCAGACATCTGAGCCAAGGCAGTTGTGACTGCTTTGTCTGGGAAATGTCTGATCCATTTCTTGTATTATTACAAACTGCTTCTAAGCAGTGGAGACAGTTTGCTTATATTCCGCGACTGTCGTGGGTTTCATGGAAGTGGGCTTTGCATTGTCTTCAGTACATGCACAGCATTTAAGTTCTTGCACATTCTCATGACGAAAGTAAAACTCCACATATTTGATACCAGGAAGTAAGCTCTCCATACCAGAGAGAAACTGCATTTGGACAAAGTCAGGAAAAAACCAGTTTTGATGAAAATGAATTCCATCCTACAGGAAAAGATAAATAGTGACACTATGCAGAAGGCTGTGTGGCATGGTTTGTGTGTGCCTTTTTTATTTTTTTTTTTTAAACACTCGAAGAAAGAAGGGGGCATGCACACAAAAGAAAAATCAGGAAATAATGAGGTGGCATGATCCTTCTGACCATCTAATAACTGCCACAGTACCCAAAAAACAACACTTAATATAATCTGAAGGCAACTTTAGAAAGTAAATTAGTAAGTTTTGATTTCTGAAGGTTTGCATTCAAAACCATGAATAACTGCAAATAAACTACATTTAAGGAGTAACTAGATCATTTGGAGACTGAAAAATACAAAAAACCAGAAATAAACTACTGCCTTGGAAGAATGGCAGTAGAAGGAAGGCAGGCATGTGCATTCTCACAGTCCTTCACTCTCAGAGTGCCTGGAAATCTTAAGATGCATGACTGTGCATACGAGCAGGCTTTGATTCTCTTCTTACTGTTGCACTCCCCTTGGGTTTAGATCTTGGGCACCGCAGAAGTGGGCTTTCCAATTAAGCCAGCTTGATAGGAACAGTTTTGCTTTGTTGCGGAGTTCAAAACTGCATGGAGAGAAACACTCTAGCTGTTAAGTTAACAGGTCAGAAGAACAAGCACTTTTCAGCACTCTGTTGGCAGGCTTCTCAGGTGCGAAAGCTAAACACATAGGTTTGGCAGTATCATGTGAGCTTTGCTTTGTCAAGCTCTGGATAAAAGGGAAGGGGCGGTGGCGGAGAAAGCAATGGCAGAATTTGTGCAAACAGATCAGCACAGGGAGTTCTGGCTGAAGACCCAAGTGAAAAAACAAGTAGTGGAAACAGTCTATTGTTAGAACCTGAACTTAAATTAGGAGATATGAGGGTTCTTGCTGTAGTTTAAAAAGAGGTTTTGAACGGTGCAGGCAGTCCTGATGTACCGAAATGCGGCATCTCAGTCGACGTGTACATTTGAGATTCTCCCACAGAGCACAGACAGCATACACGTGATAAAGGTGGCAATATGAAGGGACATGAGAAGAAGCAAGCAAACACCTAAACATTCCTTTAACTTGATTTTAAACAAAGTAGCTTTTCACAAACATGAACTTCCTGTAGTTGTTCACTGAAAGCCAAGATTTGCTGTAAACATTAATAACTGGAGCAACTATCCAGCAGATCAGAGGTCTCTCAAGAAATCCCAATACAAATGCTTTCTGAGGACAAAGATGCCTCATCAAAGTTAACAGTGCTGCAAAAAAGGAGAATGGGAAGATGGTTATTTGTCACTGGCAGAAAAACATGCTTAACTATATTAGTGTCAATGCTGGGAAAAAATGCAACTAAAGATGCAGTGACTGGGGGAAGTAGCAAAGATGAAGGCAGAGCAAGGAGGTGAAGGACCAATCCATCCTGTTCACCCCTGAATTCCCAGCAGGCATGACGGCTGACTGCAGTCACCCACAGGACCCAGCACCACAGAGAGCACCAGTGCAGCGCAGGCTGCTGTTACTGCCATGCCTCTTCCCCACAAGGCTGAACCTTTGGTGGAGACAAGAACCACTGGGAATTGGGTTTAGGATGATAAACCCAGGAGGACGCATCCAGGGATAATCAGGGAGAGATTAAGCTGGGCAGAATAGCTTGGCACTTCCTTCTGTGCCTTCAGAAGAAATAAAAGGAAATTCAGCAAACAGCCACGGCTCCTGGTTTTAGAGCCACCCGACCATCCAGGCAGATGATGCCACTATTGGACAGTCGTTACTAATATGCTGGAGAAGAAGGCATACAACAGAATCCCCTTTCTCTTTATCAAAAACCTTCTCACCCTTAGTCATGCCTAGCTCCTGGGTCAGACAGTATTGGACCGTCAGATGTGTTCAATCCTCACATCAAAGTCACTGAAAATACACAGTTGTCTCAACAGAAAACTATCAAAGGATGTCTTCATTGGAAGGTTAGTTTTACTTGAAGGGGAAATGAAGAAACTGGGAAGGACCTGTGCTCAAAGTTTAAATGCAAATAACAGAAGCCTAAGAATGTTTACCTCTGCTTTAAAAAGATCATATTTTAACAGTCTTTATAAGCAGCAAAAGAATGTGGAGAATCAAGCAGCTCATATATGTACTCACGTCACAACCCCTGCACATTGCAAAAGGCGTACATTGGCTAAACCTCCACAAAAACTTGAACAAAGCTTTTTCAATTGTGATTTCTAAAGAAGCTTCTACAGCACCTAAACCTACAAAAAAAAAAAAGTCTTGATTTCTCTTTTAGAAAATTGCTGTGTTGTGCTACTTGAATATACTTTAAACAACATTTGGAAAACTCCAAAACTGACCTCTCAGTCTAGGGCTACACCGTGAGTTACTAGCAGATAGGCAGCAGATCTTGCACAGACCTGTATATCCACTTATGGCCTTGGATTTGCATTATCACAGAACTCACGACCTTAAGCACAAGCTGGAGGCTGACTAGGAGACAGAGAAAGCTATCCAGATACTTCATGTTTTAGAGATTTTAATAAAACAAGGTAAGAGAACTTGAACACTATCTCCTTAGGTTTTCAGTTAGAATTTCTCTGATAGTGTCTCACGTTACAGTATAAATTTGTTAGCAATGCCACTGAAACTACCTTATTCCTAAAGCATGGCATGCCGCAGTCGTCACAGAGTTATTCCCAGTCTTCAGCTAAAATTTTATTACCATATACTTGTGAGAACAAAATAAACACATTATTTATTAAGCCAAGCTTGTCAGAGCTCCATTAATCTCTGATGTCTGGGGCTGCATGTAAATTACAGACCAGATCATCTGAACTTCAAACTTGTTCCACCTAAAGCACTTTGGATGCCTTCAACTAGAACAATTTTTTCCAGTCAGGAATCTTTCTTTCCAGGTATGGTTCAAAGAAATTAGGAAATTAGTACACAAGCATAAACATAAGACTTTTTTGTGCATGCTTTAGCAGCCTCCATATCCCAGAAATAAGTGTATCCCAGAATCAAGCGTGCTAGGATACTAGGTCCTACACATAGCTATTCTATTTACATACAGTTAAAATTAAATCCCTGGGAAAAAGCCTGTGTTGGAAACCTTCCACTGATGGGCAATTAAAAGACCACACGATCCATGACTCGAAGTTACTTATGTGTGCGCATGTGTGGAATCAATTTCAGGTATAATTAAGTGAAGCACGGTGTTAATGACAACTCATCTTCCCAAGAAGAACCTTCACTATCATTATAGCCAATAAAGATGTTAATCATCCTGCAGTACAAGCCAACAAGTAACTTTCAAAAACTAGTACACAGCCAGACATGCTCTATCTTACGCAGTTTTAACACTGAACTGCCCCTGCCCCAGTGGCAGCTGCATTCACTGCTTCATGACAAGTACTACCGGAGCAGAAGTCCTACTCGTTGCTTAGCTTTGAAGAGATGCTTAGCTGTGGGTACCATCTGGCAGACTGGTTACCTTGTACTAGGGATTATCATGTCCCATACTCCCTTCGAAGTCTTTGCTGTTCTAACCCGACGACTTTGCTAACCAGATTCCCCTGAAAGGTTGCAGATCTGGTCTATTAAGTTCCCAGTATCACTGTCTCCGATTAAACGATATTACTTCACAACGAAAACATTTTAAATTAAAGTAAGAAGAAAAACATATTCCCTTCCCAAAGAAAAAGTTTACTGTCAGTCAAATATTTCAATGTTTCCTGCTGTAAATTCATGCTTTAAACTTTTGGGAGTGGGCAAATTTATACTCCAGTCAAATCAGCAGGCATGAACAGAGAATTCACTCAAGTGACCTTACTTCACTGGCACCAGACTTCTGTTTTTGTCTATAGGGTGCTCTCTAAAACTAAACACCTTCTATCAAGACCTCATGCACACTTTGTATTCTTTAAACAGCATGATCGAATACTGAAAAATACAATCATTTGTCACACTTCAGTCTGGTGGACAGTATCTGACATGATTGCTTATTTTCATCCACTGACCAGTATATGATCCACTCTGTCTCGTTTCTTCCGCCCAAATTTCATCATCTTCTGCCAGTCTGTTTTGTGATTAGGCTCCTTCCTCAGGCTGAACAACTTCAGTACTTCAGCTGCAATGAAGCTCTACAGAACAGTAAAAGTGAGATTTATCACATTTGAGCTAACAAATGAAATGTATGCACAAAGTACCTACCCTAAAAGTCACAGTACAGAATCCGTAACAGCTTTCTGTTCAGTTAAGAGAGATATGATGTATGCAAGAAAGTTACAGTGAAAGTCTTTGAGGCAGCATTACACAGGCAGAACAATTATTAAATCCAGAAGCGGGGAAAAAGGAATGACACCCACTGCTCTAACAATCTTGAGAACAGAAACTTTCAATTAAGCAGTACAGAAAACAGGAGATTATGGCAATTCATTTTATGGGAGAATATTAAAGAAAAGCAGGGTGGGAGTTTGGTGCCCTTGTCCTGTGCCCCTGCTCTCTCCTGCCACACACTTTCGAAAGTCTTCTCAACAAACAGAGTGATCTAGATACTATTTCTGCCCTTTCTAGACAGTTAACATGCTGTATCTTCAGCAGGTTAATCAAAATACAGTCAACCCTCTCCTAATTTCAGAAGGAACAGTACAGGTAGAAGTCTTCATTTGTGTCCCAATGAACTGTATGGAAGGTTCTTTGTTGAGCACTTTCAGGGAGACAGGTTTTTTTCCAAATGTCCAGCCCTGCAAGTTTAACCTAGGTCCAGTCAGGCTCCAGCCTTTTGGGGTTTTGTCCTTTCTTGAGCACTACCACCAATAACAGGAGACCTCCTCTGGCTTGCCAAATACGACAATGCCCTCACCAGTCAAATTTTGGGTCCCTCTGGGCAACTCCCACTGTCCTCAGTGAGGATGGCACAGGTGGGTGTCAGTAAAAAATCCAGCTCGTCCCATCTGGCCCAACCCTACCATTGGATTCATGCCAATATACCCATACAGAGTTCCACTGAAATCTGCTAAAGCAGCAGTCTGTCAGAATACCAATTTTGTAAGACCAAGGTGATCCTGGCAGTTCTGCACAAAGGACTAAGGTTTAAAAGCAACCACTACCAGCCAAAAGGACAGGAAGGCAAATCTGTTGAGTAAAAAAGGACCATTTTGACTAACTCCCTTTCAGGTTTGTCATCTCATTTCTCTTCTCAACTCATCTCTTGCTGGATACACCTGTTAGGATCTTTTAACACTCAGGCAAGTGCCAGTACAGTATTTTTCATCTCACTTTCCCTGCGTGACAAAGATTTCTTCCTACCTTGATTTCATCCAGATCATTTGGATCTTTCACTCGGCGAAAGTAAGCAGATGCGATCCTACATGGTTTCATCCAAATAGGCTGATTCAGATTAGGATCCTCAGCAAAGATTTCCCCAAAGATCTCTCTTGTTAAATCAAATACCACCTTAACAAAGAAAGAAGTAAAAGTTAAGGCTTCTGTTGTTCATGGTAAACATTCAAAGGGCAAGAACAAAATGCCTGAAGACTGTACCTTTTTATAAACCTGCTTGTTTATAGTGTCTGTGTCCTGCTCTTTGAGGGTACTACTAAGATCTGTATGAAGGTTGAAACTTTGAAGATCATGACCCAGCTCTTTCAGTTTCCAGAGTTCCTCAGCTGCTGCATGCACCATACCTTCCACCTCCACCGCAGTATGAGGGACCGCCAAAGGCTCCTCACACGGCTTTGTTGGCACCTTCTGCGGTTCTACCTTGGGCAGCACTGCTGGTTCCTCAGCTTGCTTCTGCTGGACCTTATGGGAACTCAGGCCATAGTCCTCATCAAACCAGTCTTGATCATCTCCCAGCACACTCAGGAGCTCCCGATTGAGCTCCAGCTCTGCCAGTCTCTTGGCAAGCTCTTCCTGACCGCTGGCACCAAACACTGGACTCTCCTATGAATTAAAAGCCACAGAGTAAATACAAAAGCATTGTCACACTGTTGTCTAACTCAACTTACATTTTTAAGTTGAGTTAAGGGGAGTTTTTAAGCTCTACCGATGTAATTGGCAATATATACACAAATACTCAGAAAAATAATATATATCTCACAGTAAAATTAGAGATGTTTTGATTCAAATATCTGGGGTTTCTACCACTCCTGACGAAAGCTTTCAGAGGGTTCCTACAGAGCTTAAAAGACTGTGCGTCATGCCCACCGTCTGCCCTAATGTTTAACTGTTTATGAAAGGCTGAGTGGTTTAAAAACTGATAGTGTGACATACAACTTCTCACTTCACTTAGCAGCAGTCTCAGATCTAAATCAACAGCCTAAAAGCTTTCTGTGATGATAATATACTGAGATTAATGGCAAAGCAGACAGGTTTACTGGGTTCTTCAGAAGAAAGGCCAAGTCCTATATCTGTATCATTAATGGTTGTTCTGAGGAAGCTTGAACTTCCACTACTCATGATATATTAGTTCAGTGGATAGAGCAGTCTGACACCTTAATGACCTCCACAGCAAGTAATTATGTTTGAGGATGATTATTTCATATCAAGAATAGACAGAGGTAAGTTTACAGTCTATTGTGTTTTGACATTTTTAGAATAAAAACTGAGGGTAAGGATTAAATACAAATTGAACATGTAAGCAGAATGCAACCTAAATGAAGTATTTTTCACTTTCATGTGCCAAACTGTGTCTTTCAGCCTGCAGGGCTACTAAAATGAGCCGTGAACTGGGATACACAAGAACACACCTGTAAAAGACATACATACAGGCAATCTCCACATCACCAAACATAACTTGGGAGAAAACAAACTGGTGCCATACAGCATTCCTAAGATTCAATCATCAGTCAAAGGAACAGTCGACTCTTAAAATCAGTGCAAGATGTCTGTTACTCACCGGTCTGGGACACATGTCTGGAGAGGAAAGTTCTTCTCTTTCATCTTCCAAATCGGAACTTAGAAAAAAGTTATTTAGTCCGTCAGGAATCTGCTTTTCTACCTGCTGGGATTGGGTACCGGATTCCTCCTTCACATCACAGAGCTCCTGGTTGCTGAGCTGGATTTTCTCATTCCTGACCTTCTTTATTCGCTGTAACTGATTGACGGTGTCTTTCACAAAATCTCTAAGCAGACTGTCTGTCAGCAAACTGACCTTTTCCAGTTGGTCTTTTGACTTTTCTTCCTCTCTAAGCGGTAGTCTAAGCTGGGCTTCTAACTGGTTCTTTTCTTTTGTCAGCAAATCCAGAAGTGGAGTTGCAGGCTTCTCCACAACTCCAGGAGAGAGATCATCTAACTTTTCAGCACATTCTTCCCCCAGTGTCTTCTGCCTCTCCAGTTTTTCAGAAAGGAAATCTGAGACGTCATCCAACTGAACAGTGGAAATCTCATCCACAACACCAGAAATGAGAGGAGCAAGGCTGGCCTCCTCTTTTACAGCATGCTTCAGATAATCCACCACTGACTGTTCTTGGGCAAGTGATTCAGTAGCTACAGAAATCTTCTTTATGCTGTTTGCTTTAGCAGATGACTCTTCATCAACGCCTTCCCCAGCTGAGGCTTCTGAAACAGCTGTGTCTGCAGGAGCTTTATCCTGGGAATAGTTCTCTGTTGCATCTCTGCTCTGGGGTTCATCCTCCTTGCTAGGTTTGGAGCTTCCTTTGTCTTTCTGCTCTGCTTTGTGTTGCTTCTCCAGTCCATCATCAAAGAATGAGTCTTCATCCTTATTTGTGTCTAAATGGCTATCAGTGTTTTCTGTAATGTGAGAGATTTTTTGAGGAGGAGCAAAAATACCATGCTTTTCTTTGCAATCAAAATATTTAATACCATCATAAGTTCCATTATTGTTCCCTTCAGGTTTATCCAACTCCACGCCAGCCCAAAACCCTTTGGCAAACTTAGTCAGACCTTTGAATCGCAATGTTCCAGGTTGGACTTTACTCACAAGTACTCTATCACCAATGTTGAAATTTGGCAAGCTATCTGTTTCTTCTGTGATCGAAACAGAGGCCCACAGCGGTGATTCGGTAGGGGCCTGTTCTTGCTCCACATCTCTGCGTTCAGTATTTTTTATAAGTTCTGTTGGGGACCTAAGTTCTAATAACCTCTCTGAATGCATGCTGCCAGAGAGAGACAGACACCTGTCACTGAGGTATTCACTGATTTCGCCATCACTACCAAGGCTGGTGGATCTACTTCTGCTGGTTTGTGTGTGCTGTGACCGCTCTGTCGGTGACTGAGCATCCCCGTTAGGAGAAAGAAGAAGAGATGCTTCAAAGTCATCTTTGTAACGTTCCCCAGGAAGCGTTTCTTCAACTGATGCTTGTTTTCTGGAAGAGGATCCTTCGAAGTCTTCAAGGTATGATGGTTCCTTTTGACTAAAGAGTTGTTCTGAAAGCAGATAACCTTTTTCCTCTGCTGATTTGCTCAGTTTGCAAGAAGACTCTTCTACACTTGGGCCTGTTACAGCATCTTTATCTGCCAGTCTCTGCTCTAAGATTTCTTCCGTACCATGAAGACTTTCCACAGCCAAACCAAAGAGTTCTTTCTGCGAGTGTTCGTTTTCAGAATGGAGGACTTTCTTTGGAAGGATGTCCAGTGAGCTCTCCTGTTCTTTATCTAATGTCAACAAGACATCAGAACTCTCCAAAGGCTTAACATGAGAACCTTCAATCTCATATTCATCGGACTTTATGTATTCCAAGTCTTCCTGTATCTCAGATTTATGACTGAAGACAGCCTCACCATTGGATGCATTTACCACATTGTTCATTGACCCATGGAATATCCTGCTAATGTCTTTCACGTCTTTGAGAAGAGATGATGAGGGTATGTTATCTAAGGAATCACCAGATCCTGCTCTGAAACTCCTTGGTGACATTAAAACTGAGCAAGATGTTGCAGAAGGTTCTTCTGCATGAACATCTGTCACAGCCAGCTGCTTGGTGTGCACAGACACAGATCTCTCAGTTCTTGATGGCACAGCATCTTGAAGGAAAATAAAAAGTGAATTACGGCAGATTGTATAGCCTGCATTGTTTTACTGAAAACTGCAACTATAGGCAACAAAATTAACATCAAGGTTTCTATGCTAGAAGAAGATACAAACCGGTGCCTTGGAAACATATATTTCTAGCTGTCCTACGAACATGAGCAACATTCTTTCAGTTCTAGGGTTCTAACGCTTTCTTTCCAGTTCTGTTCCTTGTACCAGTATTTCATGCTGCCATACAATACTGAGCCCAAGGTGAGGGCTCAGTTTTTTGTTTGCAAGCCACAAAACCAACCACGATTAGAATGGTAGATAATGATCAGATAACGATCAACAGCAAAACGTTGAAAAGTATCTCAAAAAACCCCCTATTCCTAAATGTCTACTACTAAAGCCTTCGTTATTTTTGGTTTCCTTACTTTCCTCAAGTGATAAAGGAACAGGAAACAAAAGAAAGGACAAAGGTTGTCACGTAATTATGGTTGACACAAGCCTCAGCCAGAGTAAAACTAAATACTGAATATACAGGAAACAGCAAAAGCTGAAGCCTACTAAATAAAAATAGTAAAAAATACAGCTTGATCATTATGGTTTTATGAAGTCTGCACGCTCTCTTAAAACCTCTTCTTGAATCAAGAAGGAAAAGATTAAAGAAGTTTAAAACAGTCAGTCTTCAAGATCTTCATCTGTAGTACAGATCCTTCCAGTTACATACCTGCATGTTCTGAAATGGATTCCAAAGATGATCTGGATCGCTCTGATTCAGCCAGTGATTTCCAGTTTTTAGCTGTCTCAGGCCTAAAGTTGAAAAATCAAATTGCATGAATCATGGTTACACCAGAATGTTGGGCTTGTTTTTTTTTTTTTTTAAGAGATAAAAATGGAAATACAAGCATAATTATAATACCACACCAATGATAACAAACAGTTTAGTTTGTCAATATACTGTGACCTTAGAAAACAGGAATGGGGACAGAGAGAAGAGTTCGGCAAGTCCTGGAAAGTAATATTCTAGAAGAGTAATCAAACTAACTTTTTTTGCAGCCAAAAAAGAGAAAAAGAAAATAACTTTTTTTTATAGTTGAACGCACTAAAATTGCACCATCTGCTGGAAAAAATGAAACACTTAAATACAGTAGGAAGTGCAGAAGTCAGTCGAATTCTATACCTTTTAAAACCTAAGATCTAAACCAGATTTTAGTTGCAAAGATGAATGGTTTGCCTCACACAGTGCAGCAGGCATAACGGGTGACCAAAATGGGAAAAAAATTGGGTCAGCAATCCATACAACTATTTGGCACATTCTTCCACAATTAAAAATTATTGTTCAGAAAGAACTTGAAAAGAAAGACTGGGCAGGACAAAAGCGAGATGCGTACGGTGACAGGGACAGTACATCTTATCTGTTTTGGGTCTGATGAGACCAGCAAATAGGTCAAGAGGATACTGCCGCTGTCCAGTGCTTTAAGGAAGAGCTGTTACCAGCTTTCCTTGCACTCATGGTTTCTGCTAAAACAGCGTTCACCGCAGTTTCAGAATAATCTCAAAAAGGAGAAATCCCAGTTACCTATGGAGCGGTGGTGCCTTGATCTTAGGTTTTTCAGCAGCAGCTGAGGATGGAGTTTTAATCTGGGGTTTGGCTGTGAGTGATGCCTCCAGATCTTGGCTCAGCTCTGCTTCAGTCTTCTTGATAAACTCATCATACGACTGCACATGGAAAACAGTAATGGCTGTTATTTTACTAAGCCATTAGTACAATTCAGCAATTAAAACCTATTTAAATGAATAAAAGGATACACTCGGTTTCTCTGTAAAACAATCTATTCAACTTCCTAAAGTTCTACAGTTGTGAATCCTAGAAATTTTATACTTTACTTTCAAAAACAAATTACATGAGCATCACTCTTTAATCCAAGCTAGGATACTAATGTGTATAAACATACGTAAGCCCCCTGAACACTACTAATAACCCATTAAACGTATACATTTTAAAAGGGAATGGCATTTTTGCCTCAAGACTCTGGTTCATTATTGTAAACTGTTAAGTAGCCAGAACACAGTCACACTTTTATCACAACAATGTGTCTTACACAGCTGTTGATACAATATTCTGCCAACAACATCCATACGATAATGATTTTTCCAAGGCTAACAGTCTTTTACTTCGCCTTTCTTCCTACTGCTCCTAACCTCCAGTTGTTTGATCAAACTGGCTTCCTGGGCCTTCAGTCTCTCCTTTTGTCTCTTTTTCTGTTCCTTTTTCAGCTGGTAAACCACAGACTTCCTTTTCCGTAGTTCATCCTTCAGGGCCCTGATCCGTCCTTCAATGTCACTTTGATCAGATGTGGTTTCTGAAAAAGTTTAGTTTTAGTCTTTGTACGCTTGCACCTCACAAAACAGTTCTACACAAAACAATGAACAGTCATTTAGTAAAATATCAAAGAATTTAATGTCAACATGTTAATTTTAATATAATAAGACTCTTAAAGTGGGATCTCAGATTCACAACACTACTATGTAACATATGAAAAAGTGTTGCATCTTATTTGATTTAGAAGTGAAAGGCTCTGATACATACAGTAACTTGTTACCAAACTTGCTCACGTCAACCGCCCATGTTTATGCTACCTCATTAACCGCTTATCACATCAGCTGTTGCAGAAATTAATATTTTTTCTGACATATTTAAAAATATGACAACTCAAAGATGCATACCCAAAATATATTGGAAATATTTGTTTACAATCATGACACACAGTTTCAAGCTACAAGGTACACTTCATTGCTGAAAATTTCACTTGCAACAGTGGACTCCAAAAGCCGGTTAGGTTTCTGGCCCATTTAGATTTTCTGCCACCTAGACTAAATACATCTATGAAACGGAGAGCTGACTGGTCAACAGTTGGAAGGAAAGTCAGTTTGAACAACGCAGAGATTCTCACTGCTGTCAGGCCTCAGGATGACTGTTCAGGGTGAATGGGGGTAGTGTTGAGCTTAGACACGTGGTGGACTACTCACTAATAGCTTATACAGAGTTACTTGGCACACCTGTGCTCCAAGTTCAATTTTACTATAATGCCATTACTGACTGTAGCTGTTTTCCACCTGAACGATTTTTTTCTTAATCATTATCCTTAGTAATAACTCCTCCCTTCCTCTCCATCCCCAGAACACCCTGCAACCTGGTCTTCCAGTCCTTCTGATGGCGTTCTACCTCTTTTCCATTGGGACACTGTCCCCAGATACTTAGATCCATTCTCTGCATGATAACCCCATTCTACTGGTAACTCTGCTACTTTCGTTATTTCTGCTCTAACAACCTCTTAGTCTCTCAGACCTCTCAGACATTATAGAGAGACTGCCTCAGTGTCTCATTACTTATTCTTTTCTGCCCACCTGATTATGTCCACTTGTTTCTTGTTTTAAATGTATACCAACATCGTGCAAAACAAGATCCTTGTCCCAGATTAGTGCTACCACAATTAAGTATCAAAAACGCTTCAAAATATTGATCTGACATAGTCTTACTGGAGCTCCTCCCTGCAGCTGATGTCCCCCTTCCTCTTCTACAGCAGCAGCTGCAGCTCCTAAGAGAAGGATCTTGGCTGGTTTGCTTTTCTAATGCTCAGTATTACCTATAATGTTTTCTGGACCAAAAGGCTTGGATGCTCATAAATGCCAATTGCTTTACTGAACATCCTAGAAAGTAACTCACCAGTATTATTCGGTCAGCTAGCAGCAACAACTGGACATTTTGCTAACCAATCTCATTTCTCAAGACAACAAACCACCATAATGAAGGATTTCATCATCAACAACAGCCAGTAAATACAATCAAACTACTGTACTCTTTTTCCATTAACAACTGTTGTTAACCATTTAGAGAAATTAAAAACAAAACAAAAACACCCCAGCACAAAAAGAATGGGATCTCACTTGCTAATCAGGAGTACTTTATGATGCCGCTGTAATTAACAACTCCTCCCAAATAGTAAGTGACCACTATGTAATTATAGCTTTTCTTGATCAAGTCATGAAGGAAAGATCCGCACATGCTTTCATCTTTGACAATACTGCCTACACATGCACTGGACTGACATAGCAATGACTTCATTATGACTCAGCAGCTTGGAAAATGTCTCTTTACAATGGAATGATTTATTGTGAAACCAGCAGCATCCTGATTGACTTCCCACCTCTTATACCTTTCTTCAGCATTTGAAATAAAAGATTGCAAATACTTTATTTTAAAAAAAGCTTATTTTAATGATCACTGTTGCCTGCTCTGCTTTTCATAATGGCTTCCTTATGTAGTTTCTCAGTCAGAACTTGAAAATAACTTTATCAAGTTGCAAACTGCCCTCCAGACAGAATCCCAATACAAAGTACTCAGTGCAGATACCTAGGTGTTATGTATTCATTTCTCTATCCAGCAGGAGAACAGCTGCCTCAAAATTACTGTTTCTATTGTACTTACATACATACTAACCAAAAAAAACAACATAAAAGATTATGCTTGCTACATCAAGCACCACAAAGACTGGATATGTACGCACGCCAGTAAGTTATCCGCCAATCACAAACAACAGCCTGATTCTTTTTCCACTAAAGACTTACTGATCATTTAGGGAATTAAAAAAAAACGAGCAAGAAAATGCTACCTCATTTGCTAATAAGTATTTTATGATGCTATATCAACTGCCCTGTGGAATGCAAGATGTTTTAGAGACTGAAAGCACAGAAAGGTTCAAAACAGACTTCACGGCTTAACAGAGCTGATGATGGTGACCCACTGAATGGTGGCTCTGAAGGCCTGCAAGCCACACGACTAACAGACTGCGAGAGCATGCCAGGGAAAGGACCGCTCTGTACCAGTTCACTTCTAATATTCTCTCTCTCAGCATTTACTGGTAGCCAGCTTGGATACTGGATAAAAGACCTGTGATAAAGAGTCCATATAGTAGATCTTGTATTTTATAGCTTAAAATGCAATCTTTGGCCCTATTTTACTGCACACAGTTCAAACCCTCCTCCTAAAATAAAAACACGTCCTGAAGTATCCATTCATTCTGCACATGCCAGCGCACAGGCTCACTCATACTGCCATGATAACAGAGCCATACTGCTTCTGGAGCCAGGTTGTGCTCAGAAGGAGGACAAGCATGTTCATAT